GACTCTGTAAACCGCTTAGAGAGGGCTGAAAGCCCTATGAAGCGGTATATAAGTCTAACTGCTAATTGCTATTGCTATAAAGCCAGACAGTCTCTTAAAAGTTAAGGGGATGGTCTAGCTTGCCCTTGTTACTTGCAGGAGCAATGTCTTAGTTATTCTGGAACACTTCATCTTTATTCTGCAGGAGGTTAGTTAGTCTATTGTCATTGCGCCTCATAGAGCGAGATTAAATGCCATCTTCAGTGGACATTATAACTATAAAAATAAAACAAACACACATCCTTCACATGCTATACAAATGAACTGAAAACCCCTAATATTGAATTAATATTGCACTATACAGTATAGTCAATATAGTTATTGCTCTGGGATAGAAGCTGTTTTTCAGCCTATTTGTCCTTGTTTTTATTGCCCTGTACCGTCTGCCAGATGGTAATAGTTAAAAAAAAGGGTGCCCAGGATGAGATGGATCTTTAAGAATTTTTTGAACTTTCTTAAGGCAGCGGGAGCTATAAAGTTCTTCCAAAGAGGGGAGAGGGCAACCATGTTAATCCTTTGGAGGGCTGTCCTATCTGCCGCTGTGCAATTGGCCAACCATACAGAAGTTAAAATGCACACTCTGGTGCAGTGGTAGAAAGTCACCAGCAGTTTTTCATTCAGTTGTCAGAAGTCTCAGGTAGTTCACTTAAAAGCACAGCACTGTTGCAGAATTATTTTTTTTTGACTTGGACATTTTCGTTGGGTTGCTAGAGAGAAGACTGACGCAACGATCATCAATGACTAAACTACCTCTGATTTTAATTTGAAAGGATTTAGCAGTAAGATAAAACTGCTTTCTTCCAAATGGCCTCCGGGACCTTTAAACTTGCTTTTCGAAAATACAAAAGTGTTTATTCCTGAGAAAAAGCATCAATTCTGATAGAAACCTCCACCCCCAAGCCCCCCGCCCATTTTATATATTGGAGAACCAGAAGCCATTTCTTATGAGCCATGGTGGCACAGTGGTTAGAGTTCAATACTGCAGGCTACTTCTGCTGCCTGCACTTTGGCAGTTTGAATCTCACCACGCTCAAGGGTGACTCAGACTTCCTTCCTTTCGAGAGGGGTAAAATGAGGACCCAGATTCCTGGGGGAGGGGCATAGGCTGAACTCTATAAACCGCTTAGAGAAGGCCGTGAAGCATTGTGAAGCGGTATATAAGTCTAAGCACTACTGCCATTGCATATCGGATGGCACTTTCAAACTTCTTGGTGTGACAGCTAGAATTTGGTTTATGCGTCCCCAAGCGCTGCATACAAGAATGGCAAAATCTGAACGTTACCTGCCGGCACCACTCTTGGATAGCGCTTCCAGAGAGGGGTCCTTGGATGCTGCCATCTCGCCTCAGGTACACCTCCCCCTGATCTGTCTCGTACAGGAGAGGCTCTGCGTGCGGCTTGGGAGGATGGACGCTCAGCCGGATGACTTTGAGGAAGATGCCCGTGTCTTCTGCTTTGACCACTGGGATGAAGCTCAGCGTGTAGGCGGTGGGGAAAACCTGGGGCTTGAAGGTTTTTAAAAGGGAGTCTGTCAGCAGGCGGATTCTGTCCTCTTCCTTGTGGTCGCATTTGACGCCACACACCAAGCCGTTGTCCTCAACCCCCACAAAGAGACTACCCCCTTCACTGTTGAGAAAGCCACAGATGTACTTCCGCAAATGATGCTTCAGCGTTGTCGTCAGATATTCTCTGCTCCCTTGCTTGAATTCCACATTCCGCGTCTCTCCACCAATGAAAGCGCCGTAGAATAGACATTCTCTCCCCACAATCTCTTTATGGACAATGGCACTGTCTGAACGGGTGCTGTTCAGGAAAGTCACTGGCCAGTCGACCAGTCTCCAAGGGTAATGAAGGCTTTTTCTGATGGGCTTAGCTCTGTTGTCTTTGGGCAGTTGCTTCCTTGTCTCGGGCCCTGGCGGTCCTCCTAGGAGAACATCTGATCTGCTTCCCATGGAATCACTCTGTAGGCATGATGAGTAAAATTCAAGCGTATAATCAAATGTCACCAGTAAAAGGACTTGCGGCTCTGCAAGAATGTAGGTTCCTGTTTTGGTTGAGCAATTGTGATAAAAATTACATACCTGCATAGACCCAATATTTCCTGTTGTGCTTTATATACAAACATTGGTGTTTAAACAGGGAAGGGAGGGATTAAGCAGTGGCGATGATTGTTTTTGAATTCTAAAAGCGGATTGCTTTTTCAAAAGGCAACTGGACTTTCTTTTGTTTTCCCTGGAAGAGCTTTCATTTCTCATCCAAGCTTTTTCAGAATTGAAGAAGCTCCTTGGATGAGAAACGAAATGTCTTCACGGGAAAAAAACAAAGTCCAGTTGCCTTTTGGAAAAATACCTTTGAGGCAACCATGACCTGGATGACTGAGAATCTCCATGGATACTGAATGGTTGTCATTGCTGAAAATTCTGAAACCAGGGACGGCTTTATAATTCAAGATCTATACTGAGTTTGTCTCCTTTGTTGGTTTAAAATAGCCAATTGTTAACATGTGTAGCACATAGGATGCTTTGGGTCTCTGTGGAGGAATTGTAATTGGCCCTGCATCCTAGT